AAAATTAAATGGGGTAAACCTGAAAAGATCTTAGCAAAAATTAATTTTTCCATGACATTAAAGAAGATTTCTTAATTCGTGTGAAAAACGAAACAAGCCTATATAATTGAGACGGAGGTAGTATCTTTTATGTTTTCATAGGAAATCACTCTGATTTTTATCATTCTTTTAAAGTAGAAAAGCCAATATTTTATAATCAATCATGTCATAAAGAAATAGATTTAATAACATAATTAAAATTTGTAGCTTTATTAATATTTGCCAATAGTGCAAAATTTGACTATTCCCATCACTAAGTTAGCCTTTTTCCAACAAACACACCATTCCGGAAAAACACAAATTTGCCCGACTCATATGTGGATTTTTTTTTTCCTAGTTTTTTCAACAAACCACCATTTATAAGGTTTCTATTCATATCTAGTACATGTAAAACATATATCAATGTGATCTTTTTGCCGGATGTGAATTGCAAGTCTACACTTCTTTTGCCAACAATGTTTAATCAAACTTCATTATCCATTTGAATGTGTTCATTCTCCACCTCGTAATAGATTTTGAAAATGGTCTATCGTAGTACACATGTATGGTGGCACAAATGTTATATTACCATGCTTGAAACTTTCCTTAGACCAAATTCAAAATTTTACGGTAGCAAAGATGTTGTCAACAGAGTTCACTTTGCTTTCTTGCATCGACTTTTCTGAGCAGAATTCTATTCGCGATTTTAACACATTTTGCACTCCTATTCAATCTCAAACACTTCATATTATAAATACTCAAGCGTAGTCAAAACATTATTTTACACTAGAGATTGCATTGTTGAAAATTCAAAACACAATCCATTGATTTCTTGATTCATAAATTCATCCTATATATATTTTTATTGGTTGAGCCTTAAACTAGTTAAGAGAACATGCTACATAGATCATATATATCATCCAATGTTCTTTTACCTTCACCTATAAGCACACAAAGCCCTGAATTTAAGATAAGATGTCCTTGGAGTTCCAACACTCCAGAACAAATTCGTTCTTAATGATCCACACAGAGAGAAAAGTAGTCTAGAGTTGTTGGGAAGTGCGGGTCGCACACCAAAAAAGTTCCTTGGTGATTTATAAGTTATGGAGTCACAATTAGCTAATGTTTAGCAATGTCTGGACTAATTGTAAATTAACTTTTTTAATAAATATAATTGGCAAATTTGTCCGGAAGTTTTTGATCTTGAGAAGTGATTTTCCTCTAGGAACATATAAAGTCTGTTTGGGAGTGATTTTGAAAATTAATGTTTTGATCGTTAGGAGAAAGTGAGATCCACCTGTGAGAGAAGAAGTCAAATATAACGGCTGAAATAGTGAAATAACGATCAAAAAATCAATTTTTTGGGCAAAAAAATCACTCTCAAACATGCTGATAGTGTTATTTACTTTAATGCTTTGATCTGAATGTTTGTCATTGTTTAAATTTAGAGTTAATTGAATTAATTACCTTAATCATCTAAAAACAAATGACTTGTTGATTGTTATTTATTAATTTCGCATATTTGGATATAAAAATTTGACAACATAAACTTTCATGCGCGTTTAAATTGGATAAGAATAAAATAAAATAAATTGAAATGTTACGTTAACTGATGGTAGGCAATAGCTTTAGGAACTTGTCATACGAAAAAAATGTATTTTTGAGCAACGTATTTAAATTAAAATATAATAACTCATTTCGGCTAAAATCGTTGTTTTGAAGACCTATACCTCAACATATTTAGATCAAGAATTACATCTATGCCCTCCACAAATTGATGGAAAATTGATGTATTTTATTAATAAATGTACTATTTATTAATACAATCTCTGTTGGCATAGTTAACAATTATGGTCTTAATCACATTAATACAAGTCAATCGACAAGCAACTTATTATAAAAAAAGGTGGAATTATCCTATTTTCCATTCTTGTTCCACCTCGAATAGAAAGGTGGAATACTTTGCTCATTCTTGAAGAAATTAGATGGATCAACCTTGGTTTTCACTTGAACCAGTCTTTTAAAATTATTCATATAATATTTTCGTCCCCAAATGCTTGCTTGTGCATAGCTTGTATTGCCATTATTATTAACTCCTATATCAAGATCTCTGTAGTTGATATATGCAGCCCTTGGAGACTTGGAAACATAAGGAGCCATGTAACTATAAAGTCTTCTAATCCAATTTATATGCCTTTCTGACGCCTCTTCTTCATCCCAATTCACCATATAATGGATTTGATACAAATTACCAGCTCTGTGTGGGAAGGGAATGGAAGACTCTGAAACTTCATCCATTCTTCCCCCATATGGGACCAACAACATCTCAGCTTCCCCAGCGTCCTCTTCGTAAAACCGTGTCCATATGCCGTCAAGCCCATTCTTAGAAATCGGTTTCTGAACATAGTCTACTTTTGCTTTAAAGTATCGCACATTTGCCTGAGTCCTATTAAGCAAAACATCAAGTGATCCGAAGGGAAGCCCGTAGATGTATAGGGCTGATTCTATCCATCTCATTTCCGTGCAATCTTCTCTTCGCAAACCCAATTCCGGGAAGCTTTGTTGCATCAGTGGTAGCAATCTGTCGACACCACCAAGAAACAATGATTGAAACGAAGCCTGAATAGTTCTCTTGCCATCTTGGCTTGAATTCACCCTTCTTAGAAAGACTCTAACGGCCAAGTCTTTATCGAATTTGTGTGCAATGTATTGCCAACGTTCAACAATATTTGTTGCATTCTGTTCTAAAGTCCTGGCAACTGTGAATACGGTGACTTTTTCTGGAACGTCCACCAATTCCAGTTTCCAAGCAAGGATGACTCCGAAACTGGCACCTCCACCTCCTCTTATGGCCCAGAAAAGATCTTCACCCATGGAATTTCTATCGAGAATTCGTCCATTCACGTCTATGATTCGTGCATCAATTACATGATCAGCTGCCAGCCCATATTTTCTAATCAATGTTCCATAACCTCCTCCACTGATATGTCCGCCAGCACCAACAGTTGGGCAAACACCACCAGGAAATCCTAAGGTTCGACTTTTTTCTGCAATTCTATAATATAGTTCACCGAGTCTTGCACCAGCTTGAACCCATGCAGTTTTCTTCTCTACATCGACATTTATTTCCCGTAGGTTAACAAGATCAACGATCACAAATGGGACTTCTGACGTGTAAGAAAGTCCTTCATAGTCATGGCCACCACTTCGAACGCGTA